GCGACCATTGCTCGCACATGGTCTTCACGAAATCGGCACCACGCCCCTTCCAAGCGGCAACCGTCTGCGAATTGTCACGTTCTGTGCGCCACGCGTTTCCGTAGGCGCGAATAAGCACGTCTTCCCATTCAACGATGTGCCCCCCTGCGGCTGTGCACGAAGCTTTCTTGTAGGCCTTGCGAATACTGTTCGCCCTTCATGGCGTCCCATACCAATCTGCAACGCTCGGTGCGCAGCTCCGTGAGGTAGCCCATGCCTGTCGTAGCTGAAGCATTGCGCTCTCTCCACGCACCACCGCGGACCTCTTGGAGCACCCGATGGTGAAGCTACTCGTTCCCTGTCATTTGAAACCACCTCGAAGTGCATTGCGAAGAACGACGATTGTATTGCATGTAACCTTCATTTGGTCGCCGCCGTAGTCGGAAGGCTTTTCGCGTCCACTTCAACTCCCATCTCCGCATTCGTTGCACGAGCGTTTTGTCCCAAACCCCCATTGCACTGCCACGTGCTGCACATCCTCCTCCTTCCTCCTCCCTGCTCCTTTCTCCTTCCTCCCCCTCCTCCTCCTCCGTCCTCCGTCCTCGCCCCCTGCTCCTCCGTCCTCCTCCACACCAACAGCTCCCCCCCCCGTCGCACCACCAGCTGTGTCGTTCGGGCGGGCTGGGCGTTTCGCCTGAGACCTCCTCTTTGCACGGATCCCCCCTGGGCCGTAGGCGATCCGAGGAGGAGGAGGAGGTGGAGGAGATGGAGCAGGAGGAGGTGGAGAAGATGGAGGAAGAGGAGATGGAGGAAGAGGAGATGGAGGAAGAGGAGGAGGAGGAGGGAGGAGGAGGAGGAGGGAGGAGGAGGAGGAGGAGGAGGAGGAGGAGGAGGAGGAGGAGGAGGAGGAGGAGGAGGAGAGGTGGAGGAGATGGAGGAAGAGGAGGAGATGGAGGAAGAGGAGGAGGAGGGAGGAGGAGGAGGAGGAGGAGCTGGAGGGAGGAAGAGGAGGACGAGGAGGAGGAGGAGGAGGAGGAGGAGGAGAAGGAGGAGGACGGGTCGCCCAAGCCCTTCGGAGGGCTTGATTGGAGAGGACACGAGAGAGGACACAAGACCCTTCCGAGGGCCACATCGCCGTTGGAGTGTAAGAGGGCACGTGTCGCGAGGCACAGGACACAAGGGTACCTTTGAGCTGGCAGGGTCGACCTACCAATCCGGGCCGGCTGTAAGGCAAACTGTAAAATTAGTCACGGAACACACAAGGCCCCTCCTCTTTGGACGCCCGGAATGGGTACGGAAAGACTGGGTACAATGCCCAACAACAAATGTTGTCACAAATCCACAGCGGCCGCTGTTGGGCAGGCGGCCTTCCGTCTTGAATGGACACAGGCCGCGGCGGCGTGGACAGCGAGCCCTGTCCAAAACGAAGCGGATCCGCTGTTGGGCATTGTACCCAGTCTTTCAGAGCCCATCTCGTTCGTGCAGATCCCCCCCACGGCGAGGGCTCTTTCTCTTCCGCGCCCCGGCGGTGCATCCAGAGGAAGCCCGCGAACTGCGCGGACGGAGGGCGGGCGGTCTTCAGCGGGGGGTCGCTCGCCCCGGAGCCGCGCGTGCTCCTCTTCACCGTGGGGGGCCCGACCACGAGAAGCCCTCCACGAGACACGTCCTCCTCCTCCTCCTCCTCCTCCTCCTCCTCCTCCTCCTCCTCCTCCTCCTCCTCCTCCTCCTCCTCCTCCTCCTCCTCCTCCTCCTCCTCCTCTCCTCCTCCTCCTCCTCCCTCCTCCTCCTCCTCCTCCTCCTCCTCCTCCTCCTCCTCCTCCTCCTCCCCATCCCGTGGGCGCCCCGCACCCCCAGGAGGTCGCACGATGCTCGGCGCGGGAGGGTCCTGCCCTCCATGGCAGGACCACCGAGGCCCGAGAAACCCGGGGCACTCCGGAGGCGGGCAGGGTGCTCCTTGGCCCGGCCCCCCCCCCCCACGGCGAGCACTCCCGGCAATTGCACGGAGGGAGGGCGGCTGGCTCTCGAGGTGGGGCTCGTACCTGGGGCACCCAGCATCTGATCGGCGCACGTAGAGTCAGGTCGGGCCTGTTACAGGGGGATTTGGGGTGACACTTTTTTTTAATACCAAAGCAATACGCCCAACACGCCAACACACAGTCAAAACATCGTCCCCATGCTATTTTTGGACTATGTTTGAAGATCCCTCCTGTAGAGGGACAGGCCCGACTTGAACGTAGAGTCGTGCAGCAGTTGCACGGATGGATGGCGCTCCTTTTCGGAGTGGAGCTCTCGCTTGAGGCTTCGCTTGATCTTCAAGCCAACACGTCAAAGCTGTGTAACAGCTGCACGGATGGAGGGCGGCCGCTCTTCAGAACGGCTCTCTCTTGGGACTGCCTTGCAGTGTCTGACCCCACCTTGTCGCATTCCTGACAGCTCGAAGCAGTGTGAACGAGTGCTTGCAGGGACTTCTGTGTGAGGGGGGCTCGGGGCGGGAGGGTGTGTTGCAGCACGCTTGATGCACCTTGGGTCTACCCTGGTCCTCCTCCACCTCCTCTTCCTCCTGCTTTATCCCTCCTGGGCTCCTCCCTCCTCCCGCCCTCTTCCCTCGGTGCGGCTCCTCCTTCCTCCTTCCTCCTGCCTCCTTCCTCCCTCCTCCCTCCTCCCTCCCTCCTCCCCTCCTTCCTCCTCCCTCCTCCTCCCCCCTCCCTCCTTCCCGCTTCCTCCTTCCTCCCTCCCACTCCTCCCCCCCCCCTCTCTCGCTACGCGCACGTCCGGGCACGGCCAGACGCTCCTGCCGACGTGCCGCCCCTCGACGGGGCCTCCGCGGTCACCGCCCCCAGCTCCTTCGCCCCGGCGCCCAGGAGCACGGCCGACACCACCAGGCTGGCCGCGTGGCCGACGCGCCCGAGGTCCCAGCTGACGCCGACGAAGAGCGCCCTCGCGGCCTGCGGCAGCGGGAGGTCGGCCACGGAGCCTGGGGCAGGAAGCCGCCGAGAGACGCGGCCGAGGCGGCTGGGGCTGGAGGATCGCACCGCCTCGGCGACACATCGATGTCGATGGTGCATCGGCTGCGTCGGGATGGAGGAGGAGGGGGAGGAGGGGGAGGAGGGGGAGGAGGAGGAGGAGGAGGAGGAGGAGGAGGAGGAGGAGGAGGAGGAGGAGGAGGAGGGAGGGAGGAGGAGGGGAGGAGAGGAGAGGATGAGGAGGAGGAGGAGGATGAGGAGGAGGAGGAGGAGGAGGGGGCTCCTGGACGCCTTTCGCTGTTTCCAGCCCCCTGGGAGCCCTCTGCGGGCCCACGGGCCCAAGGGCCGGCCACAGAACCATCCAGGATGAGGCACTGGCCCTGGGGAGGGATCCGAGGCCTGGGGCCCGCCTCCCTCAGGACCCTGAGGCGAGGGCAGGAAGAGCCCACCACCGGGCAGCTGTGAGTCAGGAGTCCCTGAGGGCCAGAGGGTCCAGCGGATGCAGCACTTCGCGCCGTGGCCGTCCCAGGGCGCTGCTCAGAGCGTTCTCTGGATGGAGCGCTCTGAGGAGCGACCCGCCCCTGTCCGAGGCCCCTCCCCCCCCCCAGGAGCCCTTCTCCATGGCCATGGAGACCATGACCTTCTGCCGCCTGGTCAGGCTCGGCAGCAGGTCGTGGACGACCTTGCCGAGCACGGGCTCGACCACCTCTGGAGGAAGAGACCACGACGGGAGCGAGTAAAGCCTGTGGCTGTCCGCGCGGACGCCTCGGGGCGGCGGTGGCGCGTGGAGCGCGCCAGGCCCAGCGCCGAGCCGAGAAGCCCCGCAGACCTCCAGAACGTTGTGCTTGTGCTTTGCTGCGATTATGCTTCCTCTCGGCCTCGCTCTGAGGCTCCGCCGCTTCCTCCCTCCTCTTCTCTGCCTAATTCAAGCTTCGCGCGGCCCGCTTAGCTTCGACCAGAAGAGGTGCGCTCTCGACCCGCGGATCAAAAAAGTGTTTTGCTGCGATTGGCTCAGGATGCGTTCCGGGAGCTCCGGAGTAGCCAACGGCCCTGGTCTTCGGAGCCCCCACGCAGCAGAAGGAGCACTGGAAGGCATCATTTGCCACGGCTTGTTGCTCCTCTGAGTCCCTGTAGCCTTTGTGCAAAAAAACCTGGCATAAACACAATCTTTCGAATGTCCGCGCGGATCTCTTGGATATGCGCTGGAATACCCTCCCCGCTGGAGGCGCCGCCAGGGGGGGCCCAGCACCGATCCAAGAATTCCGCGCGGAGCTCCGACAAATTGTGTGTTGTCTAGTTTTTTGCTCTTTAGATACCGATGCGGCTACTCCCCGGACCTCTCCCAAGACGCGTTCTGACCAAGATTCCGAGGCGAGTCCGGCCATGGCGCCAAAGGCCTGAGGCCCAAAGAGGCGAAAGCGAAGGAAGGGTAGCGGTACTGGTACCCTTGCCTCCTCTGAGCTGCAGCTCTTTCCCCCCTCGGAACCTCTAGAAAGTGGCGCCCCACCCTCGCGGCCTCCTGGATCGCCAACATCTTCCACCTGCCACCCCCCGCGCGCTTCATCACCGCCACGGCGCAGGCTTCTGGCGCCCTGTGCGACACCGGGTACCGCCCCACGCGCTTGCTCGCCGAACCCTCGAAGAGGTGGATCGTGCGGTTGGCCGCGTCGGCGCTCTTGCTGGGCTGGTGCACGGCCATGACGAAGAGGAGGAGCACCACCTGAGACGGGGACGGCTGATCGACGAAAACAGACGGGTCTTACGCGAAAAGAAAAAGGAGGAGGAAGTGGAGGAGGAGAGGGAGGAGAAGAAGGGAAGGAGGAGGAGGAGGAGGAGGAGGAGGAGGAGGAGGAGGAGAGGAGGAGGAGGAGGAGGAGGAGGAGGAGGAGGAGGAGGAGGAGGAGGAGGAGGAGGAGGAGGAGGAGAGAGTAGGAGGAGGAGGAGGAGGAGGAGGAGGAGGAGGAGGAGGAGGAGGAGGAGGAAGGAGGAGGAGGAGGAGGAGGAGGAGGAGGAGGAGGAGGAGGGGGAGGGAGGAGGAGGAGGGAGAGAGGAGGAGGAGGAGGAGGAGGAGGAGGAGGAGTAGGAGTAGGAGTCAAGTAAGCCAGCTCGAGCGAGTCAAGCATGGCATGCCCATTCCCACCCGCCCTCCCACAACATAAGAAACAGTGCTGACGCAACTGTGGGCCGAAATCAGATCGGCAAGGTGGTTTGGCACAGCTGACGCAGCCGCGATGATGGCGGTTACCGATGGGAAATTCCTGGCGCGTCTCAAAGGCTGCGTTGGCATTTTAGCACGAGCCGAGGATGCCCCAGGAGGCTCCAGGCTCCAGGAAGCCTCAGGAGGCTCCTGAGGCCCAGAAGGTTGCAGGAAGCCCCAGCGAACCCCAGGAGGCCCTGGGAGGTCCCATGAGGCTTCAGGAAGCCCTGGGAGTTGTCAGGAAGCCCCGGGGAATCCTAGGAAGCCCCAGGAGGCCTCAGGAGGCCCCAGGAGGATCCACGAGGCCTTGGGGAGGCCCTGGGAAGCCCGACTAGTTGGAGAGCTGGAGGCCCCAGTAGAATCCACGAGGCCCTGGGCTGGCCCCAGGAGGCACTATCATGCCCCGGGATGTTCCACGAGGCCCTGGGAGGCCCCGGGCGCCCGACGAATTTGCGAACGAAACATGTGCGCTGCGCCTGTGCGGGAGCGCAACTTTCAGAAAACATCCGCGCGGCGCCAAGGCGAGAGCGACATTGTCCTGTGACGAATTGGCGAGCTGGAGGCCCCAGGAAGCCTGAGGAGGCCCCAAGAGAATCCACGAGGCCCTGGGAGGCCCCAGGCGCCCAAAAATTGGCGAGCGAAACATGTGCGCTGTGCCTGTGCGGGAGCGCAAGAAAGAGGAGGAGGAGGAGGAGGAAGAGGAGGAGGAGGAGGAGGAGGAGGAGGAGGAGGAGGAGGAGGAGGGGGAGGAGGAGGGTAGGCGAGGACAGGGAGGAGGTTCTGCCCGCGGCTCGCCTGGCGCGGCAAGCGGTCCAACTGCACCCACGTGATCCCGTCGCACCCGGTGCCCTTGCCAGCGGCCTCGCCGCTGGGGCAGTACTCGAGGGCAGAACCTCGGGGCAGCGAGAACATCAGGCGCAACCCCGCCCCTACTCCTCCTGCTCATGGCCCCGTTCTTCTTATTCCTCTCCTCGTCGTCTTCTTCTTCTTCTTTTTCACCGCTCCCTCTCTTCCTCTTCATTCTCCTTCTCCCAACGCCTCCTTTTTCCTCCTCCTCCTCCTCCTCCTGTTCCTCCTCCTGCCCTTCTTCTTTTTCTTCTCCCACTCCTCCTCTTACTCCTCCCTTCTTCTTTTCCCGCTCCTCCTCGTTTCTGGCCCTCTTCTTCTTCTTCCTCCTCCTCCTCCTCCTCGTTCCGTCCTTCCTTCCTTCCCTCGTATCCTCATCCTGTTCGCCTGCCCTGGAGGAGGAATGCGAGGATGAGGAGGAAGAGGAGGAGGAGGAGGAGGTGCGTGGAGAGAGCAGGGATAATGATGGTGATGCTGGAGATAATGATGATGACGATGGTGATGGTGATGATTATGATGCTGCTGATGATGATGATGACGATGACGATGACGACTGTTATGCTGCTACGGAGGATGATTATGCTGATGAGGATGGTGCTGATGATGGTGTTGATGCAGATGTCGATGATGTTGATGATGGTGTTGATGATGCTGATGGTGAGGCTGATGATGATGGTGGTGGTGGTGATGGTGATGTGTGATGGTGGTGGTGGTGTTTGTTGTTGGTGGTGGTGATGGTGATGGTGATGGTGATGCTGATTGTGATGATGCCGATGATGATGCTGATGATGATGTTGCTGCTGATGATGATGGTGATGATGATGATGGTGGTGATTAGGTGGCGGAGGGCAAGGGGAGTGGAAGATGCGGGGAAAGGGGAGGGAATAACGAGGTGGAAGAAGAGCTCTGTCTGAGCAGGACGCACCGACGAGCGGGAGGAGACGGGCCAAAAGGGGGGACGCGATACAGGAGGAACAGGAGAGCAAGGAGGAGGTAGAAAATGAGGAGGTGGCGATGGAGAGAGGGAGGAGGAAGAGCGGCAGGAGGAAGAGGGAGAGGAAAGGAGGGAGCAATTGAACATCGAGGGGTGAAGGGGAGGAGAGGGAAGAGGCGGACGAGGAGGAGGAGGAGGAGGAGCTTTTTTTACTCGACGAGGGAGCCCAAATGCCTCTGGAAACGGGTGTAATACACTGATTCGGCGAGCTGTCGCAGGCACGCTCCGTGCCCGTACTTTGGTCCAGCACGCAGGCCTGGGGCGAGCGCCCCCCGCGCATCAACGCGAGGAGCAGGCAAAGGCAGGCCGCGGGTCGCAGTATCTCCCGAGAGGGCACCGACGGTGGTGCATCAGCCTAGCTATCTCCGATGCATGGTGTCTGGATCTATTCGCCCAAGAATAGTTCACGACGAGAACTTGAAAAGAAACAATGTCTCCCCGCTAACCGAAGAGGTATGCCGCGGCCTCTTCATCAGCCTCATGACATTGCTCGTGCGGTGCCGTGCCGTCCGCAGGCTGGGGAGATGTGGAGGCATCGGGCACCGTGATGGCTGTCACGGAGTCTGCGCTTGAAGTTTCCCTCTTCAAGGAGGAAGAGGTGGGTCGGGGAGCCTGCTGCGCCGTGCCACCTCACCTCTAACAAAGATGATGGGGCGGCGGCTCACGGTCGTCAGCCCTGCTGCAGCACGTCCAACCACGTCGCCACCTCGTTCTCCAGCCAGCCCGCGGGCATGACGCCCGTGAATCTCGTCGCGACGCCCTCCGCCTTGAAGGCGTGCGTCACCGTGCCCCTCATGGGCCACGTAGGGCCCGCGATGAGGAGCTTGGCCTTGCTCTCGTCGTGGGGCTGCTCGATCTTGATGGCCTGCACGTCCAACTCCACCTGCTCGCGGGTGATGGTCGGCTCGCCCGTCGTCGGTTCGATCTTGTCGAGGTAGTCGTTGAGCTGCTGGCGGCTCACGCCGCCCACGTCGCATGTGGCCAGTTTCTCGAGAAGGGTGACCGCCAGGGAGGCGGTCGGGCTGCCAACCGCTCGAAGCTGATCTGGTCCTGCCTCGCGCGCGGTCTGCACCTGCTTCCTGTAGTCCTCCAGCGTCTGCTGTAGCGCCGTGATGACCGGGTGTCCCTTCGGCATCGTGAACGTGTCGACCACCGTCGCCATCGTCAGGCGCTGCCGCTGCGCTGTCTGGAGGGATAGCTTGGCTATCGCGGCCAAGCACTGCTGGATGTTCGCGTCCTTGCTCGTCCACTTCTTCTCCGTGTGGCCGCCTCGGCGATGACGGCGGCCTCCTCGATGTCGTCCTTTGCCTCCAGCCTTGCCGTCGAGGATCTTCTGCAGCTCCCCCTTGGCGTCGTCCATGGCTGTGTCCCTGTCCTTGTCGCCCTTCCTTCCCTTCTTCGGGCCGGGAGGCTTGGAGTCGCCGCCAGAATTCCCAGACGCCTGGGAGGATGCCGCTGGGGCGGCCGTCCGCCACGCTGCTCTCGGCCGAGGGGGGCCTGGCTCCTGGAAGCTGCCCGTCGCCGCTGCCGCCGCGCCGCCCGACATCTTGTGCAGGTGGTGCTCGAGGTTCAGCAGGCGGTGCTTGGCGAGGTCGCAGTAGCGGTGTGCTCGCGGCTGTTACCCGCGAAGGTGCCGAGGTGGGTGGCCAAGAAGAAGAGGTCGGCGGAGGTCGAGCTGCCACCCGTCGTCGCACTGGTCCCTCTCGTGCCCGTCTCCGAGCCTGGCGTCGTGCAGCAAGTTGACGAAACGCTGCGCGCAGGTCTGCACGAAGGTCGGGAGTGTCGTCCAGGTCGTCGAAGGTCGGCGGTGGCGCGCCTGGCCTGGGGGCGCCGGCTGGGGCGCGGACACTGTGCGCTGGCTGAGGCTGAGTGACTGTGAGCCGAAACCCTACGGATGTATGAGGAATGTGTGTGGCCAGGTGTGCCCGCAGCTCTGCTGGGTCGTCGTACTGTTCCTGGCACTCTGGTTGATCCGTATCTTCAGCCAACGGGCAGCGTGTCTCAGCAGACGGGGTCCAATCATAACAGTGGCGAGTGAGATTCTGAATGCACCTGCCTGCTCTCCACGCGCCACTGAGATGCCTCCGCGTGTGATCCACGCTGCCGAAGATCGTCTGGCAGCTAAGGCATTTATTGTCGAGCGTAATGACGGACAAGATCGGGGGGGTGCCGTGTCCAGGGAGCGTCGTGGCCCATATTTGGTGTTTGACGAGCTCCCTATTGGTGGCGAAACGTGCTCGGCAGCCCTCGATCCCGCAAACTAGCGGGGCCAGCTCGGCCTCGTCACTCTCCGTGTCCCCCACCTCCTCCCCCTCCTTCGGTAATTGTTCCAAGAGAAATTCAGGTGGGGCCCATTCGCGTGCCCATGCCGTCGTTCTCATCACTCGAAAATCACAATATCTGAAAGCCTCGGTGACCTCAGGGTTCCCAAAGAAATTGGCCATCGTACGGGGTTGCCAGACTTCCTTGAGCTCCTCACCAATCGGGTGGGCCAGGGCCGCGTTCAGGTCCTGAGAAAACTGGAGGGCCCACGGGTGGATGTGTGGAGACGGGTTAAGCTCCCCATTCGGCAAGACAGTGGCATCTGCAACCTCGTTGCCCGCCTCTCTGGCTCGTCGCTCAAATCGGCAATCTCCAAAGAAAATACTAAGATAATGGCGGTGGTGTTCGGGGTTCCCTGCGATGGACTGCCACCATCTCAGACGGCGGACCATAAGCTCGATTCCAGTCGGCGGGATTCGCCACTCTTCGAAAATCTGCTTGGTCGTCCAGGATGTGTGCGTGCCGTCCTCGTGCTCAACATGCGCGCGCCCGTGCAACATAGCTCGCATCTTCTTGGCTAGTGACGTGTCGATGTCCTTAAGCTCATTCGTGGTAAGCACGTACGCCTCCAGACCCGACCATACTCTGCCCGCTACATTAGCTAGGAATGTGCTGCGCATGCTTCGCCAAGGACCCGCCGTGAACCAGTGCTGCCGAAGATTGCTCCACCCGATAGACCCTGCTCTAATGCGTGCCCTGATCTCTCTTCTGTTACTGCCCTGAACGTGGATGAACCCGCCCAAGTGGATGAGGTTGGTCATGGCTTTTCCTGAGATCCGTGCCTCGGCTTCCTTCGTGTCCTTAGCCGTGGCCAGATGAACGAGGGTTTCCTGTTTGTCGACGTGTTGGGCGTACCCGCCCTCCTGAAGTCGCTTATCTAGGATGCGATTGTCCAAGTAATCTAGTTGCAACGCCTCCTGCACCGTGCCCGTGGGAACGATGATCACACGAATCAAGTCGTCGATAAATCCGCCGAACGAGGCATCAATATCTGTACCGCTGGGATCAGATGTGTCACCTACGTGATCTCCTGGTTCGTGTAAGGGGTCATGGCATAGCAAATCGTCGCCGATTATCGTGTTCAACTCTCGCTGCCACATACTAACAAGAGGGTAGAATGCATCCATGAATAGCTCAGGCTCGTTAGAGTCTCCCATTCTGCCCCCCGTCGTGGGATGTAAACTGACGTCACCATCACGTGCTTGGTAATATAAAATGCCCGTGCTCCTGTGGTGCGTGAGTAACTCGTCATAGTATTCGTCAACTCCCCGTGACCTGTGTGCGTTGAACAAGCGCTCGTGCATGCCCGTGCCAAAGGCGTTGCGCATATCATGCGACTTGACCAGATAATAATGATGACGCCGTCGAAGTTTCCACATGATGGGTTTGATGGTGGTCATGAGTCCCTCCCTCCGCCTATGGATGATGCCGCCGTATGCCCAGGGGGGGGGGTCAAACCGACTGCCGAAATCTACTAGCCCGACACGTAACAGTACTCGCCACCAATGACAGAAACAATGCAGTATACGCAAGCATTTTGTAATGTCAGTGACGTCGTTTCCCGTCGGGGTTTTGCCTGGCTTGCCGATGGCGATAGCATGACTGACCCGGGCGTGCTGGGGTAGAAGTGCTCGTGCTCGTATGTGTGCCAACAACTGTACGAACATGTCGTGACCCACCTGCGCGTGCTCTGAGTCAATGTTGATCGTCCTCCGAACGCGGGTCGTGGCCGCCAGTGCCTCGAAATCCAGAAGGTCGGGATCATGTCGTCTCCACGTGGAACCTATGCCTTCCTGGGAGTACCCTGGGCGGAACAGAAGGGCGGGAAATAGCAGCAACTTAGATATCTCGACAGGCCACGACCACGGAGGTGCATATCTACGATGGGTGCTGTGAAGGATCCTTTTCTTGACGAGCTCAAGGTCCTCTGCAGCCCTCTCGTGGTCCTCAATGGTCGGGAGGGCGAGTCGGGGTCCATAGGCAGGGAGGTCCTCGAGGGGGGTATCCAGGAGCTTCTGAACGGCCTCAGAGGTCATGTATTTGCTCATGTGCGCGTTTGTCGTCGTCAAACCCCCCTCGACAGCTGGTAGGCTCATCGCCTTCCTGAAGTCC